ATCACTGGAACGGCCACATTCCCAAGTAGGTGTGGATCTTTCTAGAACTACTCTGTGTCCTCAGTCTCCAGTCTGCTTCTTGGGGGCTCTTGGGGTTGGAAAGCTGCATCTGACACTGTCTGGGACTGGGGGCAGTGGAGAGATGTGTGGGGCTGAGCTGGGGACTTGCCCCCTTGTCCTGCAACACTGGGGGTATAAGGATGGCAGAGAAGGTCAGAGGAGCTCAGATGCATTCTCACATAGGTAAGACCAGAGCTGTCACGGGCATCCAGGGTGGGTGGGGAGGCAGGAGGTAGGGGCGGTCCTCAAGGCACAGGGGCCTGATCCTCACCAGCCCAAGCAAGACTCCTGCTCTCAAGCCACGGGTCTCCTCAACTGCACAGCATCTAGATGTCTAAATGCACAAGGCTGAGGTATCCCTGAGCCCCAGTGCTAGGGTTCTATGGCTGAGGGAGAAGGATACCGCCCAGTTTCCCATGAGGGCAAGGGCAATGCCAAGGCAAGGGCTCCAGCTGTGCCTAACTCTGGTCCACGCTGGTCCCTGGAGTTAGGACATTAGTCTCTTCTCTGGGCCTGAGAGAAGCCTCCACCCCGGACCCTCACTTGCTTCCGTGTAGTCCCAGAGAGGTCCTGAGAAATCGGAAGGTCGGGTGCGGCACAGAACGTGTACAAAATAACCAAAACCTTCCAGGCAGCTGATGATCACACGCCAAGTGAATGGGCAGGACAGGAGTGAGGTGGAAAAGGGGCAAGGGCAGAATCTGGGGATCCTGGGAGCCTACGGTTCTTAATCCCATATCCAAACCACTGCAGTTTATAGCTGCGATTCTAGGACTTAGAATATCCAGGGGCAAGTCCTAGAATACTGTGGTGCTGAGGCTCTAGGATTCTAGCAACTGAAGACCTCATCATTTTCAGGTTCCAGACCCACCCTGTTGGAGCTCCAGGATCCCAGGCTCGGCAGAGTCCATAATTCTAAGACTCTTTCCTCTACTTCCGGAAGGAGCACCCCACCAACAGATCCCACACCCTGAGGGGGTGACACTGTCCCCCCAACCTACGCCCAAATTGGATCTGTCACCGTCCCAGAGGGTGGCCAGCATGCCCACTGTCTCTCCCTCTCCCGCTGCCTACGGTGGTGCCTGACACAGGGCAGACTCCGCCAGTAACATCATGGAATGAATGAACGGGTTTGCTAGAGGGAGCGTGCTGGGAGCAAAGTGCAAAATACAGAAACCAAAGCTGAGAAGGTGGTGATGGAATGCCGGCTGGTGGCTGGCTTGGGCCTGAGTTAGGAAAGTGGTTTCTGCTGCTGAAACCAGGAGTTTGCTGGGGAAGGAGAGGGAGGGAAGACCACGCAAAAGTAGCTAAATATTCCCCAACTTACCCAACCCCCGCGTTTCTGCTGCCCCTTGAGCCAAATTGCAATGTAAGTGCTTAAAATTTAGCTTTTGTACTCTTTGATACTTGGGGGACATCTTGGTGGGGGGGGGTCCGTTTCAGAAACCAGGCTCGTCCCCCCCCCCAAGCCCCCTGGGGTCTGGCTTCATGCCTGCAGTACTCGGCTTACACACTAGGTGGCAGTGCCCACCACCACTGCCACCAATACCACCATACCTGACTCAGCCACATCAGCAATGTCCACCCCTTGCTCTTGTGCCATGAAGCCCAGGATGGAAAAAATTGCGAAGCCAGACACAAAACTGGTACCACTGTTCAGGCATCCCAGCAGCATACAGTCCCTAAGTTACACATATGTCAGGGAGCAAGTTAATTCACAACACAAGGAAGCCACGCTCCCTACTTCTTCTCTTTTTTTCTTTAAATATCATTATTTCTAAGGTCCACCAGGCCCGCTGGCGCGACACTTGCCTGTACGAGTTGTACTTGTACTTGTTGTAGCTCCCCAGAGAGGTCATGGCCCCCAGGCAGATGGCATAGGAGAAGAATATTTGGGTCCCAGCATCAATCCATACCTGTGAGGGTTTGGGTGGGGGTGGCAAGGAGAGAGAGAAGGGGCTGTTAGAGCCAGCTTCCTACACGTTCCCGGCCACCTGAAGGACTGCACCTCAAAATGTGCAGATTCTTGACTGCAGTCAAAGCATTTATGCTGGAATGCAAGGTGTCTTTCAAGGCAATATTGAGCTGCAAGGAAGCCCAGAAGTCGAAGAAAAACCCAGTCACTCAGCATCAGGATTACAAGGAAGGGCTTTTGGAGCAGATGGATAGGAATTCCAACTACGAAATGAACGCAAGCAACAGGGCTCCCGCCTGGAGCCTCAGTTTTCACATCTGTAAAATGGGCTCTGCTGCACTACTACACAGGTTCTAAGAATAAAGATTAAGCCCAGTGCAGATACATGCTAAGACTGTTAAGTCAAGGCTGCTATTATTACTGTAATTCCTATCGTCTGGGAACCCACAAGTTGGAGCGGGACAGAACTCCCTAATGGATTATGCAGGCGAAGCCGCTCTCCAGAACCTTCATCCAGCAGCTCTTGATGGCCACAAAGCTGCCCTCCCAGCTGTCCTCTGATGTTGGCCAAACCATCCCCTGCCCGCCCCCTATCCTGCCCAGGGCAAGAGGGCAGTGGGAAGTGAACCAAAGCAGCACAGGACCTCAAAGGCCACCTGAAGGCTGAGGATCCTGGTGGCAAAAGGCCCTCAAATGGGCCAATCAGACATCCCAGGGCTTTCTCCAACCCCCTGTGGTCACGTGGCTGAGCGCCAGGAGGTGGGCACTCAGAATCTGTCCCTAGACCTTCCCAGAGCTCAGCACCAACTCTGAATTCCAACCTCAGCCAAGGAAGCCAGCAGCGCTCGTGGACGAACTCTCCCCACAATGCCACCCTCTAGGCCACTGCGGGCAGAGGCCAGGGCCAAGGAAGAGATGAGCTCACCAAAAGACCCCCTCCACCCCCCCTTTCCCTGGCACAGGGCTGGAAGGAGACCGTACTTGGTTGGCCTCAGCAGTCCTCCACATGAAAAGATACACACACAGCTGGAAATGCCTGCAAGCATGGTGGACAACATGCCACAGCCCAGCAGGAAAAGTACTGGGGGCTGATGGCCTGACTCGAACTGTGTCCCCAAGACTGGAAGAAACTGCGTGTCAGCTTAGCTTTCCCACACCCTGCCTGGCCCTGGGTGGGAGGACAGGCCACCCTGTGGTACCTGCGGGTCCTCGAGACGGCTGATGTCAGGGTACAGATAGAACTTGATGCCTGCGCCTGCACCGGGCAGCGTCAGTCCACGGACCAGCAGCACCAGGAGCATAGCGAACGGGAAAGTGGCCGTGAAGTAGACAACCTGTGGGGGTGGGCAGGAGAGATTAATTCAGGGGTGCCCGTGGCATCAACCACTGCTGTTGAATTCAAGCATCCTCTCCGAGGCCAGGGATCTGGAGCTTGCTGTTTGATCCTGTGTGTGCTGCTTAGCCTCTCTGGGCCTCAGCAGCCTCCCCTGGAACCTGGGTATAATACCAGTCACCTACCTCACAGATGTACTGAGATTCAGTGAAAACAATACTGAGTATCTAGGCCCTGGAAGTTAAGAGTGGTGGCCAAGACAGACTCTCTGTCCTCATGCAACAGACATGAAGAAAGAAAATGCAAATCAAGAAAAAAATGCAGGGACGCCTGGGTCGCTCAGTTGGTTAAGCAGCTGTCTTCAGCTCAGGTCATGATACCAGCATCCTCGGATCGAGTCCCACATCGGGCTCCTTGCTTGGCAGGGAGCCTGCTTCTCCCTACGCCTCTGCCTGCCGCTCTGTCTGCCTGTGCTCGCTCTAGCTCCTCTCTCTCTGACAAATAAAATCTTTAAAAAAAGAAAAAGAAAAAAAATGCAAAATAAAACTGTCTAGTGTCTATGTAAAAGGCTTAGTCCAGTGGTCAGCCTGTGCCAGATGTATCAGCTAACATTACAACTGTTAGTAGGACTCTTAAGAGTGAAGAACCAGTTAGGTGAGGGTTCAAATCCCAGCTCTGTCCCCTTGCTGTGTGACCTTGGGCATGATGTTTCACCTCTCTGGGTCAGTTCCCTTATGTGTAAATGGAGACTACAGTAATAGAAACCTCCATCCAGAGGTGAGGCAAGGGTTCAAGGAGCTGTCTGTACCACCACCTGGCATGTAGGCACTCAAGAAATAGGGCTTGTTGTCGACAGTGACCTTGCAAGCAGCACAGGGAACTTCTGGGAAGAAATGAAGCTCTAACGCCCCTTGGCCAGGAGACCGGGTAGGCCCCCCCCCAATCCCCAGATAACACAGCACATTCCAGGCTGCCCAAGGTCAACTGGAGATGGACACCAGAGATGACCAAGCCTGGACTGTTCCATGGCCAAGGTCCCACCCTACTTCCTCTCCTTCACTTGATCGCCAAACACCCTATGCCCTCAGTTCTCATGGATGGATCCTTCCCTATCTGTTCCTTCAACAGAGACGTTTCCAGGCAGGGTTCATGCTTGGGAGGGGCCCAGAGATGCGTGGCTCCAAACTGATGGTGAGATCCTGGTGTTTCCAGCAGGGTGCTGCCAGAGCAAGGGCTCCCCGGGCACAAGGACCCCTGATGTTCGCCCCGCCCCGCCCCGCCCTGCAAACTGGCGTGCCAGCCACCGTGCTGACAGAGGAGGAACGGGGAGCTCAGCAGGGCTCGAAGACTCGCCTGGGTCATGCCCAGAGCACAGGAGCCACACGTAGTCAGAGCCCATGGAGGTGGACTACCTCACTCTGAGCAAAGGCATGAGGCATTTGACTTCACCGATGCAGCACGTACAGAAAGTTCCTGTTGACCAACTGAAATGCTAAGACTGGTTCGCAGAGGCCCTGACTCCCTCAGGGTCTTAGGGGACCAGGGGACCAGAAAGGGATGACTACACAGCAAGTGTACCCATTTTGTAGGTGAGGAAACGGACACCCAGAGAGCGGGTGAACATGTCCATGGTGCTGGGAGCTGGGGGCGGAGCCAGGTTACTGCAGGGCACTTCTGGGGCCCATGTAGGTACCAGACACCTATGGAGGGTGACCGAGCCTTGAACCCCGCCTATCTGGCACAGGAATCCTTGATGGAGCACAATTCTTGGGACAGCCGACATCACTGTGAGTAGAAACCACCACAATGGGCCTTTGGAAAGGGGCAGGAAGAAAGCTCTCAGGGCCTGCCTGGCTCAGCTGCCCTTGGCCAGCCACCACAAAGCAGCATTTACTGAGTGCTTACTGTATGCCTGGCACCATTCTAGGTGCAGTAGTTACTTCGTTGTACTTGGCTGGTCCCACCCTAACCCTTCATTAAGAATCTCATCTTGAAGGTGAGGACACCAAAGCCCAGAGTGTCCACTGCTTGCCCATAGGTCACACAGTACTTAAGTGCCCCAGAGCCTGCTGCCCGCAGACAACTGTGGCAGAGCAGGAAAACCCCTTCCATGTCTGGTGCTTTATTTCACTCAACCTTCCCAATGACCAGAGGAAGGCTGGATTCCCCAAGGGCACAGGTTGGAATTCAAGCTCTGTGACTGGCTTGCTGTGAGACCTTGAGCAAGCTACTGTCCCTCTCTGGGCTTCATTTCCCCACCCATGAAGTAGGAGGCTCAGACCAGATGAGGTCTGACGTTCCATCCAGCTCTGCCACTCCAGGGGAGAGACAGAGTGGCAGGGAGGGCCCGCTAGGGGTCACCCAGGCTGGGGTTTGGATCCCACCTCTGCCACCTCCCAGTTGGTGATTTGGCCTCAGCTTCCATCTGTATGAGGAGGAAAATAAAGGTGCTACCCTCACCTGCCAGCCTCAAGACACCTTAGCAGGGAGGATTCTCCTGCCACTCCCATTAGGCTAAAGGGCGGGACCTACGTTTGCCTCTGCTGCTCCTCCCCCAGGCCTGATGACTTTTCTCTATCTGGGCCTCAGTTTCCCCAGCCCCCCAATCTTCTCCTGAGGCAGAGAACCCTCCCAACTTCCCAAGGGCAAGGTTGCAGGCGCGGAGGGTGGGGACAGGTCAGGAAGCCACAGAAGGGGTGAAAGAAAGAAAAATCAGCATGCCCCCCCACAAGCTGCTCCTCCCTTCCTGCAGACAGGCCCCCCACCGGTTCCCACCTCTGGGCCCTGCTGCAAACCACACCCAGAGGTCCACAAACAATTAACTGCTGACAGCAGGCTGTCCCCAGAGGGCGGCCACTTCAAAGCCAGCCAGGCCCCACTGGGCTGGGCAACGGGGCTCTGGCCAGAGGACTTTGTGTCAGGGACACAGGAAACCACCCGGGATGGGGTGGCTTCCCTTGTTTTCATGTATCAAATCTGTTTAACAAGCACTTAAGGAGCACTTGCTGTGTGCCAGGTATAGGCTAAGATCTTCAGGTGTAGTAACTCATTTAACCCACACAGCAACCTGACGAGGTAGGGAAAAGGATTAACTGCATTTCCCAGAGGTGACATCAGGGGCCCTGGGGTCACAGAGCGAATAGGTGGCCGAGGTGGGATGTGACCTCGGCCAGCTGGCTTCGGAGTCCTGTCTCTTTAGTGTGCATGCGTGTTACCGCAGTCCATCCCCTAATCCAGGACAGGACAGCCCCTCCTGCTCACACAGCCCCACCTAGTCACACCACCTCATCCGCCTCTTTGGAAAGACACCCTTGTTTTGCAAATTCTGCTGCTCTGAGGACAAGCCCCTGAGAGCCATTCTCTCAACTTTTCCGTGACTCCCCCAGGATCCTCCCGGGAGAGGCTGGTGCCAGCCGCCGCCAGTGGGCCTCTGGTGGTGGCCCAGCAGGCCTTGCCACGGGACGTGGTATTTTTCCATTCTTACTGGCAAGCCTCTGTGGTTCCTCTGAGCCCATGACCCAAAAGCCCTGTGGCCCAACTGCCCTGGAAACTTGCAAGGACAACGCTTCCTCGTTCCCCTCAGGATGGCGGGGAGAGTGGCCCACAAGGCAGGAGGGAAACGGGTTAGTCTCCCGCTGCCCTGAACTTCCTTTTGGGGATAAAGGCCTGGGCAGTAGGGGTCACTCATCCCAGAGATGGAGGCTCCTAGAGGTGGGGCCACATATCTGTGCCCAGCATCTAGGCAGGGCCCGAGGGTCTTCATGGCAGCCCTGTGTGTGTCAGAGGGGGAATCACCAACTCCTTTCACATAAGGGGAAACCAAGGCTCAGAGAAGGAAGGGTACATTCCCAAACTCATGCAGCTTGTGGGAGCAAAACTGAGATCCCAAACCAGGTCTGACTCTGACTGACCACCCCCACCCCGGGTCTGTTTTCAAGTGTGGGGCAGAAGAGTTGGGGGGTGCAGCCTCAGGGCACGTCTGTGGTCACGTCAGCGAGGGTACTCCCCTTCGGGTCCCCGGCACTTATCTTCCCATGCGATTGATGGTCTGGACTTGGCACCTTCCTGGCCTCATGCCCTACCATCCGGCTAGCTGCGGGAGAGGGCAGGCAGCAAGTGATGATTAGGAGGGGGAAGAATGCAGGATGCAGACACCCAGGTGGGGGGAGCTGCTCTGCCTGGGTTCAAATCCCAGCCTGGCCACGGACATCTCTGGATGTGAGGCTGATGGAAAGAGCGGTGATCGACAGCCCCAAGAACGGGGCATGGCGCGCATGCGCAACGTAGCCTTTGCCGCCATTCTCACTGTTTGTTGAATGAAGGAAGCCCTGGCATATTCAGACGCTTGGAATGATGACAATTACAAAAAAAGGGAACCGAGGCTCAGAGAGGCCAAGTGACTTGAACTTGGGTCCTGAGCTGTCCGAACTCTTCCTCTATCCACCCCCCCGCCCCCACCCAGCTGGACCAGCATCAGCCACTGAAGCAGGGCCAGGGCCAGGATGAGGTCCGTCCTGCTGCCCGTGGACTTAGCCCCCACAGCGGCCGTGAACCTGGTCTGCGGCCAGGGCTGAAAGCCATGGCTGGCGGCGGGCGGCGGGCAGCAGGCGGGCGGGCAGGCCAGCCATGGAGCTCAAGGAAGTCCACAGAGCCTTACTGTGTTTGTCTTGGCTTCTCTGGGCTGGCCCGGGCTCTGCTATTGTTCTGGGAGCCATGCCTGCCCCTCAGGGGCCTGGAGCGTGAGGAGGAGATTGTCTCCAGGGGCGGGGCTGGGTAGGGGGACCTCTGTCAAGTCACGTCTTCAACTGGCCACAGTTGCAAGCCCAGTACCCTCTACATTTTCATTTGATTCTATACTCCTGCCCCCCCCACCCCGCCCCATTGTATCTCAAAGGTTGCCCACTCCTTCTGGGAAACGGCAGCTTCCTCCATCAGACTGGGGGCTCCCCCATAGGTCTGGGTCAGATGTACCTCAGGGCCTTTGCATTGGCTGTTCTCCCTGGAGTATTTTCTCCTCCAGATAGCCACATGGCTTACCCTTTACTTCCTTCAAATCTGTGTCCCAAAGTTACCCTCCTTGGTGAGCCTGTCTGGCCACCCCATTTAAAAAAGTGTATCCCAGGGCGCCTGGGTGGCTCAGTAGGTTAAGCCTCTGCCTTCGGCTCAGGTCATGATCTCAGGGTCCTCGGATCGAGTCCCACATCTGGCTCTCTGCTTGGCAGGGAGCCTGCTTCCTCCTCTCTCTCTCTCTCTGCCTATTTGTGATCTCTGTCAAATAAATAAATAAAATCTTTTAAAAAATAAAAAAAATAAAGTGTATCCCAGAACTTTCTGTTCTCCCTCGCCACGTTACTCTTCAGTCCCCACTGACTCCCATGTATTTTACACATTCACCTTGTTGCAACCAACAAATCTCTCAGCTCCCGGATCATAGAGACTTCTGTTTGTGGACCCCCAGCGTATCCCCTGGCTCTATTCCTACAACAGTACCTGACAGGCAGGAGAGGCTCAAAATGTATGAGTGCATCAGGAAACGATCATGTCTCCAGCACGGCTGGGGACAAGTGCTCTATAGAAACTTCCAGAAAAACTCACCTCCATGTGGGGAAATAGGAGGGCACAGTGAAGACACGATGCGTGTTTACAGCACTGTCTGTGCCAAGCATTGGTGCTGGGGGCATCACATACCTTATTAGAGCCTTCACCTCCACCCATTCTGCACAAGAGAAAGCCAGGGCTTTGAGGGGAGGGAGTGCCCTTGAACAAGCCACTTCACCTCTCCCAGGTAGCTCCCTCCTCATTTGAACAAAGGCGGTTAAGGAAATGCTTGGCGCCTAAGATGGAGGAGGAGGTGGGCCAACAGGGGTGAACGAGTACCCCAAGGCGCCTGTGGGGATTGCTTGAGGGGCCCTCTTCCTGCCTGTCCCAGTGCGACAACATCAGCCTGGCCTGCTTCCTTTCCGGACTGGGTTTTAGACCCCTGCTCCAGAATCGTCCCCATTCTGCTTCTGCTGTCCTGGGGACCCAGATCTTGCCCTTAAGTAAATGCTGGGATCTGTTCTGATCTACAACTTCACTTCAAGGGGCTCTTCATCTGGGGAGACCACGGTCCTTAATGTAAATTCCAGGGCAGCAAAGGCCCCTTCTCCGGGAGATGTCACCCCCTGCCCATCACCGTACCTCCAATGCCACTTTAACTTACTCTTTAGACCTTTGGGGGCTTCTAGATCTTAAAGGGATGTTCCCCTGTCAAGATGCAAGTGACAAGAGGGAAATGATAGGTGGGGTTCATATAAAGGCAGGTCAGCCAACTCCTTCTCTCTGGCCTAGAGCCCCACCACAGTGATCCCCCCAGACCCCTCCGCACTGCCTTGTCATCACAGTGACCATGACCACGATACTGGCCAGCGTCTTGGTTATCGGGTAATTGTTCAGCTCTAACTTCCAGGTAGTCTTTTAGTTACAGGCTGTCCTTTTCATTATTGGAAATCCAGTTACACTTACAACCTCAATTGTAAGCTAACATTTTAATAATCAGCTACCACCCTGGTTAATAGCTAACGTTCTAGTCTTCGTGTAACCTATTAAATCAGCTGCAAATATTTCAGCAATGGCTAACGTTCTGGTTAACAACTAACATCTTGGTTTTGAGCAAGTAACTTAATCATCAGTGAAAGCTTTTGTTTCCAGCCGTAGTGTTAGTTGTACGATAATTTGGTTAACCAGACTTTGCAACCAAACTCCAAGTCTGTGCTTCTCAAACCTCCACGTGCATTTGGATTATCTGGGGATACGATTCGGACGTGGGTTCTGATTCTCCAGGTGTGGGGCAAGCCCATGGGTCTGCATTTCCAACAAGTCTGTGGGGGACGCCGAGGCTGCCAGTCAGGGCACACTTTGCAAAGCAAGGGTCTGTGTTCGGGGTGAATTGCTGGTAATTAACAATAAACTCACCTTGCTACCTGCTAACTTATCAACACCCGTGTTTGTTATTTGCTAAATCTGCACTAGCAACACCTCAATATGGGAACCGGGAGTGTAGGGAGCTTACGCAGGTCCCAGAGAGCGCACCATCGGACTTTCAGGAATTCTGTGAACTAGTTGTTAAACTATCGGGAATGTGAAATCAGACATGGTGGGAGTATATACACCAGGATGTGGGCAAATGCCACAGATCAGGGCCTTATTTTCTTTCAGAAGACTGCTTTAGCAACATACTTGGGCTCTTTGGGCTGGGCTGGTTTCAAGCAGGAGGGTCTGGGGGGTGGGGAGACTCTCTGCTGAGGCAGGGGAGGGATGGACACACAACTCACTTTCCCTGTGGACTTGACGCCCTTCCAGATGCAGAAGAAGCAGACCAGCCAGACCAGGAGGAGGCAGAGAGCAAGGTCCCACTTTAAGGAGCCAGGGTCGTCGATTCCAGAAGACAAGCTCAGCACGTTGCGCCTTCAAGCAAACAGAGCCACAAGTCAGGTTGCGCCCCGGGGCACAGAGAGCTGAGGCCAGGGCTCCAACAGGCTGGGGTTGAAACCCCGGCTCAGGTGTGTTTCCACAAGCCCCCTCGCCTTTCCAAGCCCTGGAATCCCCAGGGGTCTCTGAAGCAGCACTCACCCAGGTCACGGGGGTGTGGAGAAGTCAACAAAGGGGACAGATTGAGACTCCTATGTCAGGTGAACCTGGGTTCAAACCCAGTCGGACCTCGGGCAAGTTAAGCACATCTCTATGCCTCAGTTTCCTCATCTGTTAAATGCGTACTAATTCCCATGTGATCGATTCTCAGCAGACCCTTCTTCATGTCCACTGTGGGCCAAACACTGGGTTCAAACTTAGCGCTACCGTGTGAAAGTCTGACTTTGGGTTAGTTACCTGACTTCCTGGACCTGAATCTCCTTGTTTGTGAAATGGGGATAACTACCCAACTCTCTGTCCCACCCCTCTTTTGTTATTATTCACCCCTGTTTCATATCTGAATATCCTTGAAAATGTAAGCCTCAAGAGGGCAAAGTGTTTATTCTGTATGTGGCTGCAGAGCACCTATCCACCTCTTTACAGGGATCGCTGTTAAGAGAAAACCCACACGAAGTACCATTGACAAGGTCTGGTATGCAGCCAGCATTGGGTAACCCTTAGCACTCACTCCCGTCCTGGCCTCGAGATGCCCAGAGCAGCATCTAGCACCTGAGCAGTGAGCCTCCTCCCCCCAACTCCGCAGGGTTATGAAGGTCTTGGAAGAGGCAGGGAGACGGTGAGAAGGCTCATTGGCCTGGCCCAGCATCACACAGCAGAAGCTGGGTCTGTGGAGTCCGAGAACCTCACTGACCTGCAGAAGATGTGTGAGAGCACCTACGCACACACGTCCCTGAGGGGCTGATGCCATCTGAAGTTGGGGTGGGGTTGCACTGGGTGCTAACAGCCAGAAGCCGCAAAACTCAGTGCCAAGACACTGTCCCCACTGTCCCAGAGCAGATACTGCAGCAGTGACTAAGGACAGGGGCATCCAGCGCAGGGACATCAGGGTCCCCCGTTCCCCTGGCTCCCCAGGCTGCTGATCATGGGAGACAGGGAGCTTGTGCTCCCTGTGTGTGAAAAGCCAGGATTCCTTCTAACCAAAGTCAGCTCCTGGTTTGGAGGCCACACACCACCAGCAAGAGAGGCAGCGAGGGGGAGTGACTTTGTGCACCCTGTAGAACACAGGTAACAGCTCCTGCCCCCAGGCCACTGCCTAGGAATGCATTCCAGACCGTTCCCTAGCTTCCAGCCAGTTGTGGTCAGGGCTCTGGATGTCAGAAGGCCTGCTGGGCCAGGATACTTCACTGTTTTGCCTTTCCCCACTCCACCCCATCTCCACCCCGCAGAAGCTTCAACATAAGGACCTTGAATAAATCTAAGATCCCCATCTCAAGTGGCATCCAAAGCGAGGCCATTTCTTCGGGCCACTGTTGGGCTCCCAGCACCTGGAACAACGCACAGCACATGGTAGGGTCTCAATAGATACCTGCTGAGTGAACCAACCAAGGACTCCACGGAGGATACCAGCAAGTTCACACAGCACTCAGAACCAAGTCGCGAAGTATTTCCGGTCACCTCAAAAAGGGGCAGCATTCCTGTCCTTGTTTTTGGTGAGAACCCGGACATCAAGGAGCTCCCCTTGGACACCTCTGATGGTATGTGCTCAGTAGGTCCACAAGGCCTTTCCAACTTACCATCTGATCCAAGGACTAGAGGTCATTTGCCCCATTTTATGGATGGGGAAAACCGAGGCAAGGAAGCTTCAACTGCCCACAGACACACAGCCAGCGGGTGGCAAGGCTGCCACCCTACACGCAAGCCTGTTAGACTCCAAAAGCCTGTGCTCTGCAGACTGCCCCGCACTGCTCCTCCGATAAGCAGACAGAATAATGCCAAAACCTTAAAAAGAATCTGCCCAGGCTCCTGCTATGGGCCAGGGTCCCCTGAAGCCTCAAGCCAGGGGGCATCCCCTGAGGCAGGCTGTTAGCCAACCGCATCCCGGCTGGGGCCCTGCCAAGCACGTGGATCTGGCGGCTGCAGCTGCTTTAGAACAAAAAGCCCTTCCCTGCGCAGCCTCCAGAGCTCAGCGCCTTCAATGAAGGCCCAGGGCATGCTGGGCAGCGGCCCAAGGCTTCCTTGTGAATGGGCAGCGTCAGGCAGAGTGCTTTCCACCTCCACACCTTCGGGCCCGCTGCAACGCCAGCTACACCGTCCTCATGCTACCAGGGAAGCCTTTCCTGCTGCTCTGCACACAGCTGACTGGAGTCCCTGTCTGTCTCCCCAGCCATCCCTTCACACCAGATGTCACCTTCAGGTGAAAAGGTCTGTCCTGCCTATCAGCCTCCAAATAGCCTGAGAACAAGGATCTCACAGACAGGCACACAGTAGATGCTCAGCTCATGCTGAGAAGGTCCCCAGCCTTTTCTTGTCTCCTCTGGGCAAGTCAAGCTGAAAAGCCTGAAACCCCAGAGCCTGAACTCTTCCCTTCCCTGTGCGACCACACCAAGCGCCATTCACGGACACCCTTTCTAAAGCCTCCTCCTACCACTGGTAAACCAGTGGTGCCTATGACAGATGGCAGGCTGGCTCTGGGCAGCCGACCAGCTCCGGAAGCCACAACGGGGAAACCGAGTCTCCACGGCCGGTGGCCATCTTCTTGTAGGAGTTCATGACGCCTCTGGGTGGCACCATAAGGAATGTTCTCTTTGACCCAGCCATACTCCATATCTGAGCCTCTCTCCCGTAATTACTCTTGCACGTGTGGCCAATGACAGGGACCACTCCGCGCTATTCATCACAGCACCGTCTGTAGGAGCAACAGACTGGAAACCACCCAAGTGGCCATCAGTAGGGGCTCAGCAGCACAGAGAGGACACAAGGTGAACGCCAATGCCGCAGGGCCTGCGAGACAGTGGGAAAGCTCCCCGTGAGCAGATAAGAAACGATATCCTGCAGATAAAGTAAGTGAACAAAGCAAGGTGAACGGGGCTTCTGGCATGCGCCCTACTGTGTTAAAAAGGGAAGGGGGTGGATGTACATTTGTGCTTGAATGCGCACAGACTATTTTTGGCAGGACACACTAGACGCCGCTGCCCGTGGGGAGGGGGACCTGGTGGTGGGGAGGCGGGGGAGGGGAATGCACTTGGCCTTGGGTATCGTTTTTTTGTACTTGAATGTTTTTCTCTTTGGATGTTTGATGTTTTTAGATGAATGATTCAATGTTTTTAATAGCACCTTTATAAAAATTATTTAAAAGTCTTGAAAATGTTTGTAATGGGCCATACAGACGTTCTAGGAATGGAATGAATGTGTCTCATCAGTCAGGGGTTGTCAAAACAGAGCCCAATGTGGGCTCGGGGCCAAAGTGACGGACATCCTTTCCAAAGATAGCTCTGGGTAGCCGTGGAGGTTGGAATGTGTGGGGGCCATCCGAATCCTTTTTTTGAAAGGACCCCGCATGAAGGACCCTCCACAGGTCCCTCCCGTATGGGACTCCCAGGGCCTCAGCCACAGAGCGGCGGAGAGGGATCTGCTGGGCCTTCCCGTGGTGGTGAGAGGGCTCAATAAACTGTAGAGTGCTGTGCCCCAGAGGAACAGCCATAGTGCACTGCCCCTCAGCAGTCTCTTAACCACCCCAGGGGACTGCATGGTACCCCAAATTCAGCCACATGTCCCCAGCACTGCCACCACTCCTCTATGGACCTTTCTGCTTCCCAGAGCTTTTTCAGTGGCCTTCCCACTTGTCTTCCTGCCTCCACGGTCACCCTCCCCCCAGGTCTGCTCTCATCAAGAGAGAATCTGTCCAGACCCAAGTCAGGTGACCACTCCACCATTCTACATCCTCCCATGGCTCCTACCTACCTGGCTAAGAGGCCCTCCTAACCTGCCCTATCCCTTTTGGCCTCCCTGAATAAGGCGACCAAATACTCTTATCATTCAGACCTATTAATGACACTGGGACCACAGGTGTATCAATGGGACAAGTTCATGTATGCTGGTCCCATCTCCAACCTCATCCCCCATATGGCCCCTTCAGCCACAGTGTCTTCTGGTATGATCTCTGAAGAGACTAAGCACATTCCTGCCTCAGGACCTATGAAAAGTTTGTCAGTCACTTGTTATATGACATGACGACCACCTCCCTGCGTCATTTCAGGTCTCTGTTCAAATGTTACTTCGCCAGGGCAGCCTTTCCTGGACATCGTACAGTCACTCTCCTTCCCCTGCCCTGGCTTTACTTTTCATTATTTATCACTGCTTTTCTATTACAATTGTATTTGGGCCATCCATTTAATGTCCATTGATCTTACTGGAATGCCATCTCCATTGGAGGCTGGGCCCCTGTCTGATCACTGCTGGATCCAGAACAGTAGCTGGCATAGAGGAGGAGTTCAACAGACATTAACTGAGTAAATGAATCATACCCATTTGGTTGATGGGGAAACTGAGGCTCAGAGAGGTTCAGGAACTCACATGAAATGACCCAGACTAAAAAAAAAAAAAAAAAAAACCAACCCTGGGCCTGAATCCCTTTTTTTGACGCCACCCTGGGGACCAGCCACCCGTGTGCCTGGTCCTATGCTGCCCTTCACAAGGGCCCCCAGCATCCCAGGCTTCCTGACACTACTCATCCAGAGGGAGGAGACCCAGAGGTGAGCTGCATTCTTATCCAAGAATAGTAATGATTCATTCCAGGGTGGGATCCAAAAGAGAGTCGCCTGGACGTCTGTTGTGAGTCGGCCGCCCCGCTGCCGTCCAGCCAGCACTCAGAGATGTAAATACGTCCTCCGAGTGGGCCAAATCGTTTCCTTTTGACTGCCGGCCAGCCATTTATTGGCCCTGGCTCTTCCCTGGAGACTGGCGGAGGCAACAATTATAAAAGAGCCCGTCCGCCCTGAGCATGGGGCCACACAAGGCTTTCTCCACCGCCTCCTCCTTCCGACAGCTGCAGGGGAAGATTGGCTGAGCACGGCTTGTTTGCAAATATGACTCATTTCTTTGATTCTAATAAAGTCTAATGATACGTGCTGAGCTCCCGGGGGGGTGCTTGGGAGGAACCAGGGAGGAAGGCATGGCTCCGGCCTGATGGAGGGCATGTGGCCAGATCTGGCCCCGCCTGTCTTCCAGGGCTGGGGTGAAGCAGGACCCTTAGGATAGAGTGAAGACCCCAGAGGAGGGACCCGCAGGATGAGGTTAACCAGGGGCACAAGCTCTGTTTTCCATCAGAGCAACTCTGAGTCGAATTATAAAGCCAGCGTGAAATGACTATCTCCGGGGGCCCTGGTGGCTTCACAGGGCTCTGGAAGAGATCATCTCACTGGCTCCTGCTGACAATGGTGCTTTAGCATTACAGATGGGGTGGGTGTTGCGGGAGGGGGTGGGGGGTGGACCATGCCAAGAGGGGACCCCCTGTGACACACATGGCACAGTGTTACCTGTGGACTTGTGGCTGGTGGGGACACAGACCCCAATGTCAGAGATGAGGGCTGGGAGCCCTCTTCTATCTAGCTGCTTGTGTAACCTTGGGCAAGTCACTTAACCTCTGTGGCCCTCAGTGTCATACCCAACAAGCCATGACTGGAGGCCCTATCCTTAGCATGTCACTCTTTAACTTGTGCCAGACTGTGACCTCAAGGTTCAGAGAGGAGGTGACTGACCTAAGGCCATGCAGCGGGGCTGTGTGGGGGCCAGAGGCAGTGTCCCTGCTCTAAGGGACCTGGACATCACCCATACTCTCAGCTAGTAAAATGAGAGAGGGAGAGGGCAGCTGGCAGGGATGATCAGCAAATTCTTTCCCTGTCCACAGGGCTGTAAGAAGTCTCAGCTTTCACAGCACCTCATTATTCTGACTCCCAAGGAGTTCCCAGACACCTGTGGGCCATTGGTCCACCTCAAGGACTCATCTGTCTGCTACAGGTGAGAAGTGGACAGAAACAACAGCTGGGGCTGGGCTCTGGCTTGAAGGATGTAGGGAGCAGCCTTTTGCAAGTATCCTCACTGCTCTGCTGCCTAACCTGGTACCAGTCAATGACACCTCAATAATGTCCTGGCAAGCCTCTCCTAATGGAAACCCCAGAGCTAGGCACTAGAGGGCCAGTGGCTATTCTGGGGGGAAATCCTGTAAGCTGTTTCACCTCAAAGGGAACCCAGACCCATTGATGGTTGAACCCTCTGAGGCCCTGTATACTGCTGGTGCTTAATGTATGTCCTATTCTCTCTCCCACTAGTGTGTTCCTTGAGCAGTAGCGAGAAAGCAGATTGTCATGTCACTCACCTTCCTGTCTACCTTCCATGGCTCCCCCTCTGGAGAACAAAGCTCAAACTTACCAGGCTAACATTCAAGGCCTTAAACCTTCTCCTGGCCCCATGTGTCTCATCCTCCGGCCAGACTCATGACTTACGGTCCCCAAACACTTGGATGTGTTCAGAATGCCATACCTCTCTGTGTGGGCGGTTCCTTCCTCCCACAATGTCTTTTTGCTCTCCTTTTCAGACTAGTGAGCTCCTATTCATTCCTCAAAGCCCAGCTCCTATGGCCCTTCCATTTGCAGATGAGGAAACTAAGCCACAGCGGGGTAGTTAACTTGCTGTACCAGGCTACACAGCCATGTGGATGTGGACACAGAATTCATAAGAAGAATCAGCATCCAGTGAGCACTCACTGTGTTGAAACGCCCTCACTGAATCCTCTCTGGCTGAGTGAGATCATAGTATGGGGAAAGCCACGAGAGGGTTCTGAGCTGAGAAATGCCATGTTTGGATTCAGCTGCAAGGGCAAGGCAGGGGAGGAGAGTCCAGTGCTGGGGTCTGGGGGAGTGATGCTGAGGGTGTGTGGGGGGAGCAGGGGTAGTGTAAGTGGGGAGAGGAGTCAAACTTTGGGTGTACTTGAAAGGGAGAGCCCAGAGCATCTGGGAACTGGATTCGAGATTTGGGGTGGGCAGGAGTTTGGGAGAATTCCCAAGTACTTCCCTACTTGAAGGGCCCCTGGAAAGATGAAATGCCAATGAGAGGGATCAGTCCCAGGCACAACGCTCATGGGAGCTAGTTATTCCACCTTAGTTCTCTTTCTTCTCCCTCTTTCATGTCCAAGAGAAGGGAAGGCTCTGGAAGGCCAGGGACCAGGACCTTCTCACCTACAGTGCCTAGCCCAGGACTGCCCCACATTGAAGACCCTGGCCCACTCACTGGCCTCAGCCTCTGCTCATGCAGGTGACGGGCCTGGTCTCCTCAACTAAGCCTGCATTCCAGGCTCCTACTCTGTGGACCCCCGTCTTCCCCAGGGTTCCAAAAAGATGGCAAGTTATTTGTGGATGTTCAGGTGGGCTTACAAAACTTGGCTAAGACCCAAAGGCTGTAATAGGAGGCAGGCAGGCAGCCAGCCTTCTGTGGGCTGAAAAGCCCATCCGGATCCTGTGGGCCCTGGGAAGCTGCCTGTAGGCCCAGGATGTTTTCAAAGATAAATCCTGTCTTCAGGGCATCCAGGCCAGGAATGGTAGCCTGGGAGCTCAGAATGGGGATTCTGGAAGGCAGGAGCTGGAGGATCCCCAGGAGGGCTCAGTAGGCGACAGGTAGGTGAGAAGGCATGGAGAAAAACTGGATCGCCCGAGGATCTCGTGGTTCATGGGAGCCCCTTCCCTAGAGCCTTCAGGCCTGTGAGAGCAGAGATGAGCCAGGACAGCCCCATTTGCAATGGTGGGGGTGGAGCGGGAGGGCAAGGGCCTTTACAAGAGGCCACTCCTTAGTCTCTCTGAAGGTCAGATGACCTGAATTCCAAACGTCCCTAGAGGGCAGTTGGATCCACTACGAGGGCACTTAATCAGTAACAATGGCCCACATTTCTCAAGCAACTTCTCAGGGTTGGCCATGCCCAGTCTCGTTCAGGTAGGGCAGCCCCACAAGGCCAGGAGGGCAGTGCAAGGATCTCCCCAAGCACAGGTGAGGCCATCAGGGCCCAGAGGGGCAGCAGCGCCCGGTGAAGTTAGAAGTGAGGTTTGAAGCCCAGGCAAGCCCACCCAGGCCCGAGGCAGTAAGGCCTCAGGAGGGACCCAAGTGGCTGGTTGGGTGCCAGTGTCCTGGGCGGGGTGGGCTGAGGGTGATCAGGCCATGCCAGGAACAGCCTAGGACAGACAGGGCTGTGGTTTCAGGACCCATTCAAGTGAGAAGAATGAGGTGCCCACACTTCTTTGTCTGTAAACTCAGCTCTCCAGAGGGTGTGGCATGGAGAGGGTAATGAATGTTCTTATACGTGCTCTTTGTCTGCGGGTGGAAAATATGTACACACCAAGAACAAGCCCCTGTTCAAGCAGACCCAGGGACTTGTGAGCATTGACTTCAGGCTCGATGACAGGGACAGGGACCCCCTAGATTGAACCCCCACCTGACCCTTGCTTTCCTACGATTTCCTGGCCCTGGCCCTCAAGCATGGCTAGGACCAGCTGGCAGGCCACCCACTTTCCCGTGGGTCCATTTCCGGGCCGGATTCTTGGAGGTGGGGAAGAACCTTGGGAGCTGCAAAGCTGACCCAAATGACGATGAGGGACCACTCCCTCCCATCCTTAGTACTGTTTCCTGCCCCTGGCTCTCAACCTCATCACTGGGATCATCGGGGCCATACCCAGGTGCTGAACCCCAAGTTCAGCTCATGAAGAGCAAGGAAAAGTTAATGCACAAATGCTTTTGTGATTGGTCTCTATGCACTATGTTCGAAGCACTCCCCCGTATGTCAGCTAAGAGTTACCCAAACTTCAGGTCTCCACATTCCGCCTTCCTGATGTCTGTCCTACATCTATACTCCCACAGCTGCTGACATCATCATGGTCAACTGTAGAAAGACCCACAGTTTTCCATTCCTCTCCTAAGAGACAGAGCCTCTCCCCCAACCTCCTGAATCTGGGTTAGTCTGTGGCTTTCTTTGGCTGATGAGACATGAGCGAAAATGATGCTAACAAAGGTTTGAAAAGAACTCTTTCCCGCATGAAGGCTCCCCCATTTGTGGTGTGTGGAATGCTGAGCCACCTGTGAACAAACCAGGCTAGCCTGCTAGGTGATGGGCCCCATGGACCAGTTTGCCCCTGGCCCTCCAGCCAACAGCCAGCTAATCCCCAGAAGAGCTATCCTGATGTCCTACAGCTGCCCGACCCACACGGGAGCCCCACAAAGACGGAAGAACTGCTTAGTGGAGCTCAGCCTAAACTGCCAATCAGCAGAACCAGGAGCCAAATAAAGTCGTTGTTGAAAGCCAAGTTTGGGGGCTACTGTTACACAGCAAAAACTAACTGATACGTATTTTTCATTCTATTGACTCACCTTTTCACTTGAGTAACTACGTCAGCTTTGTATACCCATTTTTCCTCTGGGCAGTAATAGGTTTGATGAGTTAACTGTATTTTTTCTAAAATACACTAAGAAAACTCTATCATAGGCAGCAAGAGAAGTACATATACCTGCATACAGGTGTAGGAACGATTCATTCCCCTCATCTGACAGTTAAAGAAACTGAGGCTCAGAAAGGGGCAGTGACTTGCCGAAGGTCAAACAGCCAATAAAATGGCAGCACTGGGATTCGGTTCCAGGCCTGTCTGAGACCAAAGGCATGGATTTATCTCCAGATCCGCACCCTCCTTCCTCCACCCCACCACCCATGCCAAGATAGTGACAACCACATTCCTGGGGAGAAGCTGAGGGAGTGGGCTGTCTTCTCTGCTCCCCACCCACATCCTCCCCCCTGCCTTCCTCGAGGCTGGCCTTACTCCCAGAACTCGGTGACAGGCGAGGTGAAGTTGCTGGCGCTCAGCGTGACCCACAGGCTCTTGTTCTTGCGCATAGTGTCTTCCATACACTGGGGTGTGTTCCAGCTGTGGTTGCAGTGTGCCCAGGGCAGCTCCGACTGGAAAGACTGGAACAGGTAGTAAGTGGCCCAGGCCAGGATGATGACATAGTAGATGTTCAGGAGGGACACAATCACAATGGAGGCATAGCCGATGCCTGTGGGTGTGGGCAAGCAAAAGGAGCATCAGGAGGGAGGCCAGACCCACTGTGGCCACATACACAACCCCAGTATCCCTAGGCCTGGGGCTAGAAGGGGCCAGAAGGGCCAGAAGGACGAGCGAGTTATCTGTAGGATGAATGGATGACTGGATGGATGGGTGGGTGAAAAAATGGATGGTCCGATAAGCTGGGTGAGTGGAAGGATGTATAGAGGAAGGAGAGCTCAATGACTGGATGGCCAGGCGCACAGATGAGTAGATGGATGGTTGGTTGGTTGGTTGGTTGGAAAGACAGCCAAATGGATGGATACTGGATGGATGGATGGATATCCAATTTGTTGATGGATGTATGGATGGTGGTTGGTTGGAAGGTTAGGTAGATGAATGTATGGATGAATGAGTGGATGGGTATAGCTGGAAAGACCGATGGCTGGTCTATCCATTGACTAATGGGAAAAAGTGTACTGGATGGATGGATGGATGGATTTATACAGATGAATGAATAACAAACCACACATCTTCCCGTCCTTGCCAATTATAAGCGTACCAGTGATTATTTTATGGGTGCATACTAGATATCAGGCACGGGACGAAATGTTGTAATAATAAAGCTACCAATTCGTTTGGCGCTTATAGCGTGTATGAAGCACTTTTACGTAGCTGTCATTTTGTCTTCACAGCAACCCTATGAAGTAGTAAGCATACAAGGGGAGTAAGTGGGACTTGAAACCATCCAGACTCCTGATTATGAGCCCTTCTCTTCTGCACTACATGGCTGAGCAGCTGCAAGCTCATCAAACCAACAGAGAGGTAGGAACAGCCAAGACAGACTGAGCCGCTCCTGTGGGCAGCAGCATCACGGAAATATCATACTAACTGCTACCCTGGGTCAGGCATGGTGCCAACTGGACTTGCATGAAGCTCCAATGTACCAAAGAGCAGGTGCTCAATAAAAATGTGCTGGATGAACACCAGGCCCCAAGTGACCTCTGTCCCATACTCACCAGAGAACAAGGGGCAGATCTTTTCCCAGCAGGTGATGCCGCCTTCAGAGGTGTACTGGCCTATGATTACCTCTAGGAAAAACACAGGCAGGCCGCCGCCAAACAGGAAAATAAAATATGGTATAAGAAATGCACCTGCAGAGAGAGCAGACTGGGGTGAAGATCAGGTTGTGGCTATCACGGGGGCCACTCCCAAGCCCTCCCAGCCAATGAGCTCCAAGAGAATGAGCGAGGGACAGGAGGGATGGAGGCCAAAAGTCTTGGACCCATTGGAAAATTCTCCAGGCCTTGCCTATCTGTTTAGCTGACATCACCCTTCCAGTGGGCCTTCTCAACCTCCCTCAGATGCACCAGGTGATTTTTAAGCCTCTAAGCCTTTGCTTATGCTGTTCCAACTACCTGCCTGGCTTCCTCATTGAAGCCTTCACCTGTCCTTCCCCAGGCCCGCCCAGGGCAGGAAGAGAAGAACTAGTGAGGAAGGGTACAGTGATGAGAGGCACGAGGGGGGCATCTCCAGCTGAGGGTGGGAGCCAGGGGGAAGAGTGAGGGCCAAGAGCTGGGGTGAGCGCTCCTACCTAGTGTCCGCTAATGGCTTCAGTGGGTCCATAAACCCTTTGAAACTGTGGGCAACTTGGGTCTATGGCTATGTGCTTTGTTCTGGGGAGCTTTGGGACTCATTAGAGTCCCAAAGGTGCCTGAGACCTACGAAAGGTTAAGAAATCAGGCTCTATGGGGTGCCTGAGTCATTGAGTGTCTGCCTTTGGCTCAGGTCATGATCCTGGGGCCTCAGATCAAGCCCTGTATCAGGCTCCCGGCTTGGCGGGAGGCCAGCTTCTCCCTCTCCCTCTCCCCTTCCCCCTGCTGTGTTCCCTCTTTCACTGTGTCTCTAATAAATTAAAAAAATCTTTTAAAATTAAAAAAGGGCAGAAAGAAATCCGTCTCTAAGGCAGAATTTCCCAAAAGCTGGTTATCCTAGCTTGGGCGGCCGCGGCATGCCACCTGCGGCCATTCAACCCTCTGACTGTGGCCATCATGAGCGCTGAGCCATTCCTCCCTGCCCGGGTCTCTTGGAGGCCTCTCCTGCACCAGGGAGAAGGTCTCGCCCAGTCACGCGCTGCCGGACTCCGACACCTCCAAAAGGAAGATGATTCCAGATCACAACCCTCAGCAGGCATAAAAAACAACAAAACAAAACCCAAACCCCAACTGTCCAACTCATCGAACACCCGGACAGAGTCCTTACATTTTTTAACAATCATCTTCAAAGGGGGCCAAAAGAGACAAACTTCAAGGTGTAAGTTCTGGGGACATGACATACAGCATGGCGATCACAGCTCATAGCGCTGTTACTACGTATCTGAAAGCTGCTATGGGTGTAAACCTCAAGCTCTCATCACAAGAAAAAATGTCAGAAGTATGTGAGGTGATGGGTGGTAACTAACAACTGTGGTGATCATTTAGCAATATAGATGTCTATCTACCCGTTACACTGTACACCTTCAACTAGCATGTGTTACAGGTCAATTATATCTCAGTCCAAGGGGAGAAAATTTTACATTAAAAAGAAAAAACTAAAAATATCTCGACTGTATTTTTTTTTCCTGGGTATCTTTCTATCATGGCAAATAATACTGGTTTTCCATTTACCAGGTGGTGGGAGGTGGGGGAACAAAGCTTTTGAAGCGCCTTCAGATTAAGTTAGAAAAAACCCAAGCAAAGGCACATGGATCTGGGGCAATCTGTGGGAAACATGGTCCTGGCCTCACTCCCTCTCGTCCGAGGGGATCAACCAGCTGGTCAGGGAGAATCAGGGACCTAACTGAGGTTGCACAGTAAAACCTTGAGGAGAATGTCACCTGATTCTCAATCGTGCTCACGTCTGGCCTCTTAGGTGGTGTGGGATAGGGTGGGCACGCAGAGGTCCAGGTGGGGGCCTGGGAAAGCGGGGCACGGAGAGGCCCCCGTGGTCTGGCCCCTCCCTCTCCTCGATGGCCGCTCTCTGCCCAGTCCAGCCTTACCTCCACCATTTTTGTAGCAGAGGTACGGGAAACGCCAGACGTTGCCCAAGCCGACGAAGCCGCCAGCCACAGAGAGCACAAAGTCGATCTTGCTGGACCACTTCTCCCTCTGAGGCGGCTTCCCCTCAGCCTCATCTTCGGGCCGCGTGCCTGGGCTCTTCCCCGGGGACGGCTTCAGGATGTCTTTGTGAAAGTCTTTCAGACACTGCAGCTTCTCCTTAGTGGCCATGTCCTCCTTGCTTTCTGTGGGGGACAGAAGAGAGGCCAACGTGCGCTCAGTAAGGGACGGCCTGCTCATCTCTGGCGTTATCTCTTTTCCCACCCACGGGCTGGTGGGCTCTGACCAGCCCAGGCCTGTGGCAAGGGTCCTGTCTGGCCACTGCTCTGACAACAACGTGATTCAGACCCCTCTGGGTGACCAGGGACCTCAAGAGTCAAGAATTGACAGGTTCCATTTCCCAGGCACCTGCTCAATAGAAGCACAGGGACCCATTGCCTGTCATCTCCAAATGTCACACCTCATTCCACACCTGAAGGCAGAGAAGCGTGACACTCCCCCCCCCAACCCTGGCATCTTCTCTACTAAGTATGACACACTCCAGGCAATTCTAAGGTAACTTCCCCAAAACAGCCTGCCTGAATTTTCTAGCAATGAGCAGATACCATCTGCATCTCACATTTGCCTAGAAAATGATGGCTCCCATTTCACTCAAGACTCAGCATAGTGCCTGGCCATGGGAGGTGTTTGTTCTGAGCTTCCAAAGAATGGATAAACATAAAACGAGTAAGGGATGGGGTTTCAGGCTGGAATGGGAACCATATTTGAAAAGGAGGCTTCCATCAAAGTATGGAAAACAGGTATTTCTGAAATATTTTTGCAATTCATTAACCAGTGACATCTCCACATTTATGGGAAAATGCGGATCAATCTGTCTGTCCATCCCTCTCTACCCATTCTCTGTAGCTTGCTCTAACTCCTATAACATCCAGGCTCCCTTTCCTCTAACTCCCTGTTGGGTTCAGCTCCCAAGAGCTGTTCAGGATCACCCTTAGCCCACCCCTGAGCATGGTGAGTCCCAGCCCTGGGAAGAGGCTGCCTTTGAGGCTTTACCCCCACATGGCCGAGGGCCATGGGAGACAGCTGAACTGTGGGAGCTGCAGCTAGTGGGCCTACCCACCCCTCTCTGAGCCTCAGCTTCTTTATCTGCAGAATAAAAAGCCTGCAAACAAAGGTGACCAACTCATAGCCGAACAGCCTGGGGTCCCACTTGTCTTCATGACCCACACTAGAGGCTGACACTGATGTAGCAGAGCAAAGTGGAAATTCCTAGGTTGTCTCAAAACATGCGAAGGGCATTGGGACACCCTGGGTTCACACTCCTTACAGGAAACCATCAGCTGGACCAGAGGTGGCCCCATCACCCAGGCACACCCGGGCCAGCTTACCACCCAGCTCACAGGACAACTCCACTGGGGATCTGAGTCTGCCTTATCAAAGGCTTAGCACCACCCAACCATGTCTTGTTCGAATCCTTGCTTCGTTGCTAACGGTCTCCCAGGCCCGACAAGAACAGAGGCTCTGTGGGACAAGGACCTGTCTTATCTACTGCTGTGCCCAGAACCTGCAGCACAGGAGGAGAACCAATGTGGGGGGGGGGGGTTGGTGCCCAGCGTGGGGTCCACAAGCAGCTGCGGCTAAGCACAAACTCCAATGCATCAGCCTCCACGCCCTGCCCTATGGAGGTGGCGGTTGGGACAGGGCGCAGTGGGGGCTGCCTGCGGACCTGGGGTGTGCAAAAGGAGGATGGACCGGCCTGGCCCCAGCAGCCGGGCCCATGGGGGCCTTGCTCGGAGGAGCAGACGCACAAAAGCTAAACAGAATCCCCATTTCCCCCACGCCTCCTTCCTCTCCGTGGCTCGGGGTGGGGGACCCCGATTGTTTCGCTATCTGGCCATGAGCAGACCAAGAAAAGGCTTCCTGGAGCCGCCGGGTGCTCGCTGAGCCCTTCCTCTGTCTCCTGGAGCTCAGACTGGCGGCGGCATCCGCATAGCCTTTCTTTGCCCTGCTCCCTCGAGGCGACGTGGGGGTTCGGCCAGGCGTAGGGCTACTGTAAAAATAGCCCCAGCGGCCAGCATTGTTCCAGCATTAATCTGTGCAGCCCCCGATGGTTATCTGAGCAGCCCATTGTGGGCCGGCTGGATGGGAGCATAATTGGAGGATGTGGGACTCAAGTCCCTCCTGATGAAGATGTTTTTCAGGGAATGACCCCTGAACCTCCTCACCAAGAGGGTCGGTTCCGCTCTTTCAGGCTCCCCTTGGATCTCGGGGCTACAAGGCACTTCCCAAGGTCAGCCAGGAGGAGGAGGGGAGTGGCCGGCTTCTGCTCACACAGGCAGCTGGGAATGGCGAGGAAAATTCTTCCCCGCTAGGACAGGAGGAGCTGGGGTCTGCTTCTCTGAGGCTACCATGAAAGCCCTCAGCCTGACTGTCTCTTCAGAAAACCCTGCAGAAGCCCGGGAATGGGGCTAGGAAGTTCCCTGAGACCCTCTGCTCTGGGCTCTGATTTCCCATGAGGGGACACCTCCAACCCCCTCTCCACTCAGGACCCCATCTTCCCAATGCCTGTGGCCGAGCCGAGACGGGATGTGGGATAGGACTCGAATGGGGCAGAACTGGGGCCTGTCACATGTCTGGCATTATGGGGGCGTCACATCCAGGTGTGCATCCAGGGATGGGTCCTTCTGTCACATCACTGGTCTCATCCATCTCTGCCACAAATACAGCCCCCACGTCCTCGGGGAACACACAGCTGGCAGCAGCCCTGCCTCTGGCTCCCTCCTGCCAGGTCATGGTCCATGGCCTCACCCAAGACTCACTCACGCCTCGATGAGGCCTGATCCAGGTGCAGGCATCCCACCTCCCTCTCAAGGAGAACTTACTCCAAGCTTCTCTGGGGTGTCTGCCCAGCCTCGTGCCTGTGTAAGCCCACTGCAGAAAGCCCCTTGGCTTCTGTCTCTTGCCTCCTGTACATTCCCATCATCCACCTGTGTTTCTCTGTCGCCAGGGGAACCATCAAGGGGTCCCTGACGGCTCTTTCCTGGGCATCCATAGCAGCCTCCTCCTAGTCTCCCCACTGCTACACCGTTACCACCCCCCCCAAAAAAAACCTGTTCTTAGCACAGCAGCTGAGGGCAGTATCTAGAGCATAATCACACCAGAATGCACCCCACCCCCAACCTTCCACCACGCTGGAAGGGAACACAAACTCCTCAAGGCAACCTAGCCCCCAATCTCCCCATTCTCCCTTCTCCTTGGGACACCGGCTCCACAGAACTGCTTCCGTTCATCCCACGCCTTAGGCTCCCTACACAGTGCTCCAGGCCCTCCGGTGGCAGCCTGACCCCTGTAAAAATAAGAGTGTGAGCCCTGGGCTAGAAGCTTACAGCCACTTCCTGGCTGGGTGTCCTCAGGCAAGTTACCCAACCCCTCTGGTCCTTAGTGTCCCCGTCTACAAATTGGGCATAATCATGCCCATCTCATGGGATGACGTACAGAATGTATGGAAAGTACTTAGAACAGCATCTGGCAAGCAACAAGCACTCCTTAAATGGTAGCTGCTGTTGCTGTGAAGTGTGTAAACCTGGTGATTCACAGACCTATACCCCTGGGGCTAATAATACATTGTATGTTTATAAAAAAATTTTTAAAAAAACGGTAGCTGCTGCATTGCTGTTGTTATTGCCGTAATTACCGGGGCCCACCTTGACCTTGGGGTGCATGAGGCCTCAGTTCTACTCAGGGTGAGATCAGCAAGGCCCAGGAAGGCCAGCGACACTCCTGAGGTCATACAGCTGGTAGTGACAGTAACGGTCATGTGCCTGAACCTTCAGCTCTGTCACCTACCTCTCTGCCAGCGCGCCCCATCTCAGACGCCAGCTTCCCTGAAGTAATTCCATCCATCTCCACGGACTGACAAAGAAGCCCCCCGAATCCCCCGTCACCCCACCCCACGGTGCAGTAAGTGCTTAGGAACAAGACCCCCTGTCCCCCAAGGCGTTCCAGCAGCCTGCTGCCTTGTTGGCCGCCGCCAAGAGCTGTTTTCCTTGGCACCAGTCCCAGGGCTATTTTGTAGCGACTGTGATACATAATTCCCCATTTTAAGAGCTTCCTCTTTGGTTATTACAGCGAGAAGCGATTAGAATCGGCATTAGAATTAGCTCTGACACAGAGGCTCCACGATAAAGGCTCCCTCCTTGCCCAGCTGAAATTCTCTCCTTGTCTCTCTGCTCCAGGGGTCATGGCCAGAACTGGCTGTACCTGAGGACCAACCTGCAGGTCACCTGGTCAGCTCTGGCACGTCTGGGCACAGATCCCACCTCGTGCCCGCAACGTGAGCCAGCAACACCGAGGATCTATCGGATGTTCCTTTGCTTCTCCCCGATCTACAACCACCAGATTTTTTGGTATTTACTTTGTGCTGAGCTGTCAATAGTCTTCTATTTACTCCTCAAGCAGCCTTCTTGTGGAAGGGATTTTTTTTTTGTACCGTTTCACCGAAGTTAACGCTCAGGCAGAGAAGCGGGAGGCCTGCCTGAGGCTAGGGACCCAGGAAGGCTGAAGTCAGAACTCCCATCATGATCTGCCCAATGCCTGGGGCACAGGAGCAAAGTTTAGAAAGGAGGAGCCCTCTGCACTATTTGCAGGTGGGGATGCTAAGGCCAGAGGGAAAAGGATGCAGAGGTGGAGGGTAGGGCCAGAGACTGGGCACCCTGCCCACATCCCACGCCCTCCCAAGCCCTCAGGCCCCAGGTGCCCACACACCACAGCCAGCTGCATTCTGAACCAAGCTGTAGACCCTGCTGTGGCTGTCTTCCCCTCAGTCCCAGACTGGAGTGGGGGCTGGGGGGTTAGCCTCTTTTTTCCTGGAGGAGCTGCCCAAGAAGCTGGAACTTCTCACCCTCCCTTGCAAAACTCAAACCTTCTTGAGTAAAAACAATCGGCTTCCCACAAGGCTCTCTCTGGAAAAGAATGAGGATTTCAATTTCTCATGGTCACTGACTTATCCACTCATGAGCTTCTACAAGGTTTTCAAAAGAAGGCGGCAGGTACTCTGCTATTTCCTCTTTACAATACCTGCCATCCCATTAATGCCCAGCACACAGTCAGCCTCTGAGTTCCACCTCTGGGCCTCCCTAGCCAGTGTTTCACGGTAAAACTCTGGGGGTTAGGCAAGTGGCTCCTAGAATCCCCAGGGGAGATCTGGAGGATCTAGCCACTCTACAGCTGGGGAAACCACAGGCCTGGATAGCCCTGTCCTGTTGGGTTCTCTATGCAATCAAGCATTCCAGAGCAGGTCTTTATCCTCGCCTTTCCTCGATTCTCTGTCCACTCCAGAGCCAGAGGCCTGGGTTCACTGAGGCCACGACCCAGCCATGTGACCCGGAGCAAGTAACCACCTCTCTGGGCCTCACTGGTTAAAACTCACCTCATAGGGATTAAACAGGGGGCTGCCTATAAAACATCCCGCACAGGGCCCGATACATATGAAGTGATTAATAAATATTAGCAATTATTGAAGAAAATAGCTGACCACATTGGAATTTTATAATACTGTGTGGCAGGCATCATATCCTCAGTGTTTTGAAAAGGAAGAAAAAGGCAAGCTACATCGGTGAAGCGATGACTACAGGCACGTTTATTTAGCACTGGGCTAAGTGCTTTGCAAGCATTTTCTTAGTTAACCACCTCTCTGGGAGCCATTACACATCCCTGTACTGCTGACGAGGCCTGGAGACGTCAAGTCACTTGTCCGGAATCACACAGCAAGTTAAAGTCCTATGAAGTTTCAAATGGCTCCCAGGTCTGTTTCAGCCTCAATCCCACGTTCTCAAGCACTCGGCTGGTTTGGATTTAGCAAGCTGACAGGGTGACATCAGGCCTGGTGCTTTTAAGTCAGCTTCAAGCCGCTGGACTGGACACATCAGAAAAGTAGGTGATGGTGGACAGGGAAGTGAGGAGCCACGGGACACAGAGGGGACAGGACCCGGGGCCTTAGGGACGGACTGCACAGGCTGAGGAAGTGGTATCAATCGACAGCCGGGATGCAGGGCGCTCTGGACCAGAGGTTTCCTCCAGCAGTCAGGGAGATCCTCCCAGACTTCTCTGATAGATCCAAAGGGGCTCCTTCCAGCCCTGTGTCCACAGACTCCAGGCAAGGGACAGGCTCAGTGAGGAGGAGGGCTGGGAACAGTTAGTAATGTCTGCCGAAGGCTCCTTAGGTACCATCCTGGCCCTAGGAAGGGCTCATTTAGAATTGAATACAAGAATAAATATGTAAGCGCCAAAAAACTCCATCAACCAACCAAAAACACAAGGCATGGGTAAGAGCGGTATTTTAGCCTGTGCCTTAACGGGAGCTGTTTTTGAAGACAAAGTAAAAATGAATCTAAAAAAGACTTTTTGTCTTTTTCATAAAAAGGTATACCTTCAAAAGATTTAATCACTGGCTTGAATCGTGGGGTCTGTAACTTTCTGTCTTGTTTATCTGTTTGTATCTCGGGATCACTCATGTCTGAAAATCTCAACGGCCCTAAGGGCTTGGCAGGTGAAAGACAGGTACAAGCAGGGAGGCCTTGGGGAAGAGTAGGGTCTGTGGCAAACAGGAGCCTAGGTTCCAGCCACCGGCGGCTCTCCTCAGCTCCCACTGCCTTACTTAAGTTTTCTAATTTCTAACACACTGCATGGCCCAGAGACAAATGGTGTGCCTTCTTTGGTCACACCATCACCCCAGGTCACCCAAGGTGGCCACAGCAAAGGGCAGGGCAGGCTTGCCTGGAGATGCTGACCAGCCCGGCCTCACGGGCCTAAGAGCTCGCCCCAGTGAGGTCATCCAGGAAGCCTGGCATTGTTTTGTCCGGAACAAAGCCAAACAATGAGCAACCACATTCTGGTCCTAGTGAAAGTGAAATCTGTTTGGGGAATTGTTTTTAGCATGTCATCTCTGGGGACAGAGTTTGTGAGCTACCTGGGGTTCAACATCTTTGGGTAAGGCCTTCCCCTTCCCTCATCTAACTGCAAAGCCCCCACCCCACAAAAACTCAGGTCTACCCTCAGAGACCCCTCATGTAACACCTTACCTGTCACATGATCGGCCCTGAACCCCGTCTAAGTGTCTACTTCTCCCCAAGCCTCACAGAGCCTCCCTTTCCACAGGACAAGATGCTAAAGTGTACAGAAGGGGAAGGTCTGGCCCAGGTCACACAGCCACGAGGCCATAGGTCAGGAGTTGCACCCAGATCCTGCCTCCATATCCCCGGAAGGAATGTAACCTCTGGACAGGGACCTACCAGAACGAGTCCTACTCCACAGTCTGTGGTTTACAGAGGAAAAGGTGGGGGAAAGTGAAGAAGTTTTGCATAGAACTGGCCTCTGGGACAAACTGGTGGCGGGCAGGATGTGGGCCCAATGTACTGCCATTGTATCTTCTTCTCACAAAAACATTTACAGGTAAAAGGTCTTGGGGACTGGGTCCAAATATTTTTCTTATCTCCTTGGAAGTGGCAGGCACTGACCCAAAGCCCAGAGACAGGCAGTCAACAGATAAAACAAAAAAAGAGGACATGCAAATAGCGTGGGGGTGGGGAGGAGGAAGGCACCAGGCTGGGCTGGGGGAGGGGCAGAGCAGAGAAGACAGGACATCGGGGTGTGGCCCCCGGGGGTGAAGGCAAGAAGGGCACCCACCATGCGCACCACAGAGGAGACCTGGGCACTGGCCAAGCAGTCCACTGAGTCAGGGGGAAGGGCAATAGACTAGGGGTCAAAAGGCTGTGCCTAGTTCCGGTTCCACTGGGTCACGCGGGCCTAGTACTGCCCCTTTGCATGTCGGATGTCCAAAAACAGAGCAAGGGTAGCTCTGGCAAGCAGGGACTACTGGATAAACATTAACCGAGAAGCTTACCCGATGAGGTGCCAGGAACTGGTCTAGGAACCGGGGGCATGGAGGGGAGCCCCCTGGAGCTGATGTTCTAGAAGGGGAGGTAAATATTTACTAGACAGGACCAGCATGTAGAAGACAACGAAGGATGAGATGTAGGTGACAGGGACCCAGGAGTCAGTGAGGCCCCTCTGAGGAGCTAAGGTTTCATGGAGGGGGCACGCCTGGCTCTGGAGCAGCAATTCATTCATTCTTCTCAGCAGCCTGCATGAAGGAGTAAGGTCCAGAGAAGGGAAGTCACTTGCCCAAAGTCACACAGCTGGGAACTGAGCCCAGGCAAGGAGCTTCAGGGTCCATGCTCTCAACCACACTGGAACTGAGGTCTGTGTGGCAAACATCTGGGGGAATGCTGTTCTCAGAGCAGGGAATAGTGTGTACCAAAAGGGCCACATTGGACGCGGTAGAGAACGGGGAGAGAAGGCCAGCGTCGGACAGAGAGCAAAATGAAACAGGGCATGGGGTGACGAAGAGAGGAGGCCAGGATTAAAAGCTGGGTTTAGCTAGAGGCTGGTGGGAGTCCCTGGAGAGTTCTGTGCTCAGTAAGGACTCCACCATGTGGCTACAGCCCCTAATTTTTCCTGTCTGGCCAACTTCTCCCTTCCACCCTGGAAGGGGATTCGAGGACCCACGCTTGGCTCTTCCCTGTAAGCTGTTGCTAATGAGGACTCGTTAGTGGGGAGCTGGGGAGACTGAGTCCTTACCCCCAACACCCCAGAGTCACCCAGCCCCCTCGTCATGAGTGACTACCTGTAGGACTGGCTGAATCAAGAGGGAAAAGCCAAGGATGGTGGCAGGACCTCCTTCCCCTTGGCTAAGGGCCACAACACCGGTGCCACAAAGGGAAAAAACACCCTCATGCCCTGAGTCAGGCCCCTCCTCTCTCCATGGGGGAAGCCCATGGGTTTGGAAAGAACAAGAGGGTGAGCATCTGCTGCTAGAGGACCTCAGGGGTTCACTCACCTGGGGGAGTGGGTAGGAAAGGCTCCAACCATCCCGTGGTAACCGCACACTTACTACCCTGGTGGTGGCCCAGGGCCACCACAGGGGGATCCGAGGTCACCTTCCCACCCCCAAGGTACTAACGTCCAGAGACAGAGGGGAGGGGCTTGTTCTGTCCAAGTAACATAGAAATTATTCTACAAGTTCAGGAGGAGGACAGGAATTATACATCTGGTCAAGGAGCAGGGCCCTGACACTCTCCAGGCTGGGCCTCACCGCCTGGCTGGATCTGTACTCCTGGAGGACGCCAGAGTTCAGGAACAGACCGGCCTCATGGATTCTGTTTGAGCAGGCTCTGGACCCAAGTGCTGCGTGGTCGATTTCCAGCGTATGCCGCCACACCAAAAGCTTCACAAAAGGAGAGGAAGTTAAGGAGAGCGGGCAGGGCCGCCATGATGGCTAACGGGGGCGCTCGGGGGCCTATGTTGGTGCACGGGGCAGTGAGTCAGCAGGCAACGGTCTCCTGGCACTGACTCACCAGCCACAGCCTGTCACTCTCCTCCCGTCTGTGTCCCCATCACCCCAGCCCTCAGCCTGGTTTGGCCGGAAGTGGGGGTGGGGTAGGGTCTACCATGGTCCTGGGGCAGGCTCTGTAGAACCAGGATTATTTCTGGAGGTCACAAAAAAAGAGACATGAGAAAAAAAAAAAAAAGAAAAGCTCAGTTTCCATTTCCTCAGACTTCCCCTTTTAAGCTGTAAGAACCCTAAAGCCACCCTCCTCTCACTGGAGGTGAAAAGCAAACAGGGCAGCCCCTCCCTGGCTCTATAGAAACTGGAGAAAGATAGGCCCTCAGTGACAAGGCCAGCGAAGGGCGCGCCTGTGGCCCAACACCCACTCAGAGTCAGTCACCTCCAACTCTGTCACCCCGGTTCTGTCGGAAGTCACATCTCCATAGAAACAGTCAAAGCACTCCTTGCTAAATAGCCTAGAGAAGGCACCTCTCTCAGCCTCAGTGTTACCGTCTGTAAGATGGGCACAATCTCCCATCTATGGTGTGTGAAGGTTCCTTGCTCATTAAATGTATATAAAAAACAAGGTCCCTGTTATGGTTCCTCTTTTAAACATGTCTCTACTCAATGAGGAAGGACCTTCTTCCTTCCTGGCTGCCCTCATACTTCACATCTTAGAAATTTAGCTCAGGGGAAGTCTGGTGCCTGTGGAACAAAGCAGCTAGGGATTTAGCAAGACAGTGGTGGTCTTCAACTCGTCATGTCTGCTGCCAGTGCTCCGTTTCAGAGCAAAGGGGTGTGTTGCCTGGAATTTCCTCCATTTACCTGGCGGTCAAGTCTCAAGTGTCCTCCCCCACCCAAAGCCCACCTGAGATCCCCAGGGGCTACGGAACCACACACTCCCCCGAGGCTTTCTCATGCCTCCATGCCTTGGCTCATTCTGTTCCCCTAGCCTGGCACACTGTTCCCCAAGTAATGCATAGGCAATTCTCAAGCGATTCCCCAGGACAATGGCCCTGAGGACGCCCCCGTGCCTTCCTTGGGCTCTGTGGTTCACATCACCTCTGTCCCCAGGCTCACCAGCCTATCTTGTAATTGTTTGCTTACTGTCACCCAGGGCCAGCTTCCTGACACCTGGTAGAAGGCCCAGCACTATCAATATTTGTCAGACCTTCAGGGCTCACAACCCTGGGCACACTCAACATAGGAGTAAATATGTAATACCTCAGAGCTGCGAAGGTTCCTCAGCTTGGTGGAGAGAGCACAGGACAGCAGCAGCACGCGACGCCTAAGGACCGGGCAGGGCTGCCGACAGAATTAAGGGTGAGCCAGACAGAGAGGAGATGTGTCCCCCGCATCTGAGCATAGTTCCCCTGAGACGGTCAAATCTGTCAAAGCTTTGCCTTTTTTTTTTTTTTTTTTTTATTTGACAGAGAGAGAGATCACAAGTACGCAGAGAGGAAGGCAGAGAGAGGGGGCGGGGAAGCAGGCTCTCCGCAGAGCAGAAAGCCTGATGCAGAACTCGATCTCAGGACCCTGAGATCATGACCTGAGCTGAAGGCAGAGGCTTATTAACCCACTGAGCTACCCAGGCGCCCTGCTTTGCCCTCTTTTGACAGACGAGTCCTCAATCTTCAGGAAATCACTTTTCATGAAACATGTTCCCCGAGCATGTTCCCAAACTGACTTTGAAGTGAATTCTCCTTGGTTTCCTAAAGGTTTGCCAAATCCTACTGGCAGGCTCCTTGTGGATCCACTGGAGGATTCTTGTGGATCCCACACAAAAACCGCAAGGCACAAAAATGGGGGCCTTAGGGTACTGGAAGGTGCACATGCAAGCCCACTTTCCAGATAAGCAAACCGAGGCCCCGACCCATAGCCAATGAACAAGAGCCCCCAGCCTCTTTCACAGCTGGGCCACTGGAGCTGAAGAAAACTCATTTCAGAGGGAAAAGCGAGGTTGGAAGGAAGTGAGGGAGGGCAGGGAGGCTCCCAGCATCCCCAACCCAGTGGAACACAGTGGGTGCCAAAGGCTGAAGGCAAAGCTTATTCCCAACCTGGCTGGACCCGTCGGGTTGGCGGGTAGTGGTGTGGCCGCAGGGGCAACTCCCAGGCTACAAGACAGTGCGTTAACAGCAGCTACTGCCCGGCTAGATGAAAATTCAGCATTAAAATCCATATCGGGGGTGGGGTGGGCTCAAGAGAAGGACATTTCTACATGGTGCAGACCATCTCCCAGGGCAACCCCCAGACTGCCTCCACCTCCCTTCACCTCCCACTGTAATTCCACCTGTGGCCTGATCATGTCTGCAATGAGCATGGTGCCACCCTATGGCCAGTCACCCATGCGGCGACACAAAATGAGGCCACCTCAACCACTGGGAATTCCCCAGAGGCATGCCCCCTAGCTCAGCCAAGCTTCTTTTTAGCCCATCCCACTGCCTACCACGTTGCCGTCCCCTCAAGAACTATCGGTGGCTCCCAGCTGCTTGGAGAATCATCTATTTCCTCACCTGGAATCCAAAGCTTGTGAAACTTTGACACTGTCACTGGCCCCAATCTCTGCCACCTTACCTATCCCTCCAGTCCTGCCCCAGTCTCGGGACCTCCTTGTTTTTTCTCACTAGCCCATTCAGTGCTGTGCTTTGTGGGTTCCCTTATGTTTAAGAGGATCCCACCCACCTTTAAGACCTGCCCCAAGGGTCACCCCTCCAAGAAGCCATTCCTGCCCATCCCATTTTTTCCCCCCTTGCCGCCTCTGGCCTATGTCACCTCACCATTCACTGGGGGACTGGGCTCTTGCTCAGACTTCAACCCTGGACAAAGTTCAAAGTTCTCCTTGGGAAAGCTCAGTTTCTTCATCTGTAAAGTGGTTCCCATAACCTGTGAAACCATTCCTTGCCCAAGTCTCTGGGCTGAGCTGCTGGATAAACCCAGCTGCCTAAACATCACCACCGTGACTCTGGCTGAAAATCCAAATGCCTGGACCTGCCCCAGACCTCCAGACTCTGAATCTTCAAGGTCATTAAACCCTCCACAGGACTCTTAGAATCAGGTGAGGCTGGGAAGAGTGGTGCTAATGAACTGGGAGATGACTGGTAACATGTAAAACAAAACCAACCAGTGAAGGAGACTCTCACTGCCTGATGGTAAGGCACGCAAACAGGCAATGGCTGTGTGCACACACCGTCTGCGTAGCCCCTGCCAGCACTGGGAACAGCTGGGGCTGGGCTGGCTGGGGTTCATTTCTGCCAGCCCCAGTGAGTCCCAGGACGACCCCAGAACCATGTGCCCAGACTTGACAATCCGCCAGAGGCTCCCCTATTCCCTTTCGCCACTGCACCTTCATAGTAACCCATTATACAGGTAAGAAAACCGAGGCTCAGAGAGGAAACAGGACCTGGCCAAAGTTACCCAGTGAGCAAGCGACAGAATCTGAACCAGGGACAAGGCAATGATCCCTCTATGCTGGCTGAAGTTAAAAGAATTTGAGAAATCAAGGTTGGGGCTGGCAGATGGATGACCTGTGACTTCTGGGGCAGGGAGCTGAGTAGGGTATGTGATCCTGGGGGAACAAACTTCAGAGACTCCCCACCCCACCCAGGGGGCAAACCCAGCACAGCAGATCTTGGGCAGCATGTCCAAAGAGACACGATGTACTGGGTAAATTGCCTGGGACTTGGGGGCCCCTA